GCTTATTTTTCACAAATAACCTGACTTCCTGAAGACAGTAGAAAGCTTCTCATATGGGTCACATTCTAGTTATTATGAACTGCTTCATGCAATGAAATGAAATTAAAACCAAAGTCAAATAAAAAAAAATTATGATAACAATTCATTTCTTCATTGCATGGGGAAACGAAAGGTATTCCTGGATGCAGAGCAGTGGAGAACATGGGATGGAGTGGCTGAGGTGAAGGACAATGAGTAGAGGTGTGTGAGTGTAGTCTAGTATTGTCCAGAGCGGAAAATTACAGGGCAGTCTGCGTGCGGGGCAGAGCACGGACTTCAGAGGAGTGGTTAGCATTGGATCCCGTCAGTTTCCAGTACATACAGCCTTGGAAAAGTCGGCTGCCAAAGAGCTAAATGCACCAACCGAGCTGACTGCGCTGCTGAAAGATCATATGTGGCTATCCTGGCGCAGTGGTTTTCTCCACTTTATTCAGTCTTCTGACATCATCGGGACGGGTCATTTCATGAGCACTGGCTGGTGGTGTGGGAGAGGTCAGCAGGAGCTGGGACTCATGAGAAGTGACAATGCACAGAGGAAGGTCATTGCCACTGCACCTTTACTGAGAACAGACTTAGCAAAACTGAAGACTTACTGGCACTCCTGGGTACAAAGACTTAGGCACAAGTATGTGACAGGTGCTAAGAGCTTCCTAACTTTGAAATAAAGTTCAGTGATTTTCTTCGTGCGCTACCATGTTTATTCCTCCCCAGGCTTGCAAATATTATTAGTATGCCAGTGGTCTTCTCCATAGTAAGCGTTTGAATACTTCTCTAGCTCTGACTGAGCAAAAGGAGATGGAAACAGGAGGTTTAGTTTTGTTGATAAGTGTCTGCTCTGTTCATATTTACCTGACCTGCGCAGACTTCACAAGATTTAAAGAGAAGCGACACTCACCGCTTATCCAGGGAAATACGGCTTCCTGTACAAGTCAGGCACGGCACCCAGTGATGATGATCCAGTGTGAGAAGTGCAAGGATTGGAATAGGAACGAAGTCTGGCAATTCACCGAGGAGAGAGAAATTGCTCTTCTTTAGGCATCTTGGAAAGCATCCCCGTGGACAGCTGTTTGAAATGCGTTTGAAAGAATGAATAGGAGTTCAGGAGCTGGAGCCACAGGGAGGCCACTCTAAGCACAGAGACTCTAGAAGATTCCAGGACTTTGTCTTTATGATCTGATCGGTCATGAGCTGCTTTTGTGGGAACTGATGGAAAATGAAATTGGAAATTCAGTGGCTTGTGCTAAGAGTAGGAAGTCTTGGGTTCTCTGTTAATAACTGTGGGGATTACACTGCTACTGCTCTTATCTAAAGAGATAAATTTATCATAAGACCATCACTCTTCCTTTTCAAAGAATCGACTTCTGTACTTGAGCATTTTGCAAATTTTCCTAACTTAGCTGTTGGCTTTAATCATGTTTTGAATGTTTAATATCTAGTATGAACTTAATAATCAAAATGAATATTATAAAATTACTGATGGCTGACCATTCTGACCTATGAAGCATCAGTTTTATCTGGTTCAAACTGTGTATCATGGCGACAAGCCCTAAACTCTTTCATCATATTGTTTTATGTAGTTTGTGGGTGATAAAGGTGCTCCTTAGTACTTTTAAAAAATTATATAATGCATTATGATTGCAAGTAAAAAAGCTTTGTAGAACCCAAAGTACCTTTATCCAATTCATGCTATACAATTTAAGAATTTCTCATTTACAAATAGTAATTTTTTAAATTCTATAAAATAAGTACAAGTTACATTTCAAAGCTCAATGGAATTTTTAATAAGGTTCATTTTCAATGAATAAAAAGGTAAAATGAAGTTTAGTCATATGTATCTCTTTACAAATACCACCTTTCCAGCCCAGGGTGAGAAGGGCCTGGTTCCTTGCTTCTCAGTGGTAGAGTCACTGTTTGAGGCATGTCAGATCCCCTGCCTATGAGATTGCTTAGATTCATCTGATCTACACACAGTTTTCAAGAATTATTTCTTCATTCTTCCTTGCAGTTCAGTAATGACATGGCCTTGAATTGGTCCACGATCGGCAGTGCGAATATTTCCTCTCCAGAAGTCAGTGTCTTAATATTTTCTCTCCTGCTTTTCCTTGAGCCTGCCACTGTGGCCATTCCACAATCATTAGTGGCTGCTACAGTTTGTGTCTCCTGAGTAAGAAACATGTGGACAATTTGTGTGGGAGTGGTTGTGATATTTTAGCAGTTCTAAGGTTTGAGGCATGGATGAAAGAAAATTTAACACACATCAGGCAAGGAGGCACACGCCTGTGATCCCAGCACTGGAGAGCCTGGGGCAGGAAGATTTCTGTGCATTTGAGGCCAGCCTGGGCTACACAATGAGACCCAGACTTAAAAAAAAGAAAAAAATGTATAATATAAATATGTTTACTTATAAATATATAAATATCAAATAAATACAATAGATTACATGAGGTGTTTTATAGAAACAAATACTATGAAAGAGTAACCTTTGTAAATTTCTATTCACTTTCTAAATTTATCTCAACACCAATTTCTACTAATTCTTCCGCTTGCCCTGTTCTCACAGACTGACTTCTTCTCCGCAGCTCGGCCTTAGAAATCACAAGCGAAGAACTAGAGACGATGGTTCGATTTTCATCTTCTAAACTTATTTTTCACGTTCGTCCTTTCAGAGTCTCTCACTACATGCCCGAACGAAAAGTTACTGTCTCCTAGCTTTGCAGTATTTTTACTTTTGAAATAGATCAGATGGTTCCTAGGAACCATCGTAACCCCGAGCTCCTTAAGAGCTGCTCTTCCGACCATGTTCATCCTCGAGCCTCCAGCACATCCGTCCTGGAATCCCGGTGAGCACAGAGCTAGCTCTGTGCTTCTGGAGATGCCAGGAGTTTAGATGACCCAAGATTATCCCTACAGCCGTATGCCTGAGGTTCACCATTTGCTTCGCCTCTTTGAGTTAAATGATATTTTCAGGAGGTTTGTGGAGAATAACCCTCATGGGAGCTGGGAGGAATAGCTTTCCGGTCGAGCACTTTGCCTAGCATGTCTAGCATGGTTTTTATTCCAACCCCCCCAGTAAAATGATGTATGAAATGTATTAGGAACAAAACATACTGTTGGTTATAGAAGTTTAATGTATGATCATGAAGAAAATTTTCCTAATCTGAAGTAAACAGCAGATTGATGAAATGGGCTCCAAGAGAAAAAAAATTAAATTTTGGCAAGATAACGACCCGAGTATAACTGGCCATCCATTGGATAATGCTTTCTGTTGCACCAGTGAGTGAAGATGTATGGTTTGAGGGCTGCCACTGCAGGCACGGTCCTGAGCAGAGAGAACAAGTGCTCTTACACCGGCTCACGCATTTTCTGACAGATCGCACTTCAGTCTTTGAGATCGCTCTTCTGCGGCAAAGCAAACTTCTGATTTGAAGGTACTGCTTAGGAGACCCAAGTGTAATGTTGCTTTTTTTTTTTTTTTTCAATGCTGCTTTTAAAGAAGGAAAACTCTTTTGCTTCTAAAATGTTCATTTGTTTCTAATTTATGGAGAAAAATATTTTTTCTTTTACTAGCCTGTTGACCAAGAAGTGAAGAGTATTTCTCAGCCTAAAGGAGTTAGAGTAGAATAAATTACTTACTACTTTTCTTCACAACCACGTATCAAGATGAAAAATCAAAAGGAGAAAGGGAGGCTATTAAGTTTCTTTGCTTTCAAACACTGGGCCAGGATGAGAGGAGATGGAGCAGGTGCTATCACTGCTTCCCACCCAAGGCCCTGTCCCCACTAAGCAATTACTGGGTCATCTGTTACAGCCCAAAGGAAATATCATAGGTGCAGACACAGTTCTGATGATTTCATGGTTCTCATACTAGGCATTTTAAGTTGTTCATCTTACATTGTTTAACATTATAATGTAAATAAAATGAGGATTTTACTGTGGATCAGGATTCAAAATGACAATCAACTTAAATAACTACATTTCTTTTGGGGGAGAGGTTTATAGGCCTAGAAGTTAAATTGGTTTTCCTCATTCACAGAGTCAGTGGTGAATATTTCACAGAGTCAGTGGTGAATATTTCACAGAGTCAGTGGTGAGGTCCAATGGTTTGGGTACAGTCCATGAAGACCTCATGGCAGATGGTGGGACACGAACCATGCATCTTTACAAAGGTCTCAGTGAGTGGGGGTGGCCAGGGAGAGGGTGTGGAGCCTCTCCCCTGGATCAGTAGCCGTGAGAGCAATTTTGGAAATTGAACCAGCTAATAACATATCTAGAAAAGATACTTTATCACTGACCTTGTCTATAATTGTGAGCACAGGTTTCAAATGTTCAAACTGTTTGAATTGTGATGCAATGTGGATGACTCCCTGCTACGCTGTCATGTTATTGATGAGTGCAGGAGGTGCTAAACTACATAACGTCGTCCACAAAATCCCAGTGCAGTCTGTGGTGTGCTTACCTGCTGCTATGTGCTGGAGGAGATGAAGGGAGGGAGAATGCTCACAGGGGGTAGAAGTGGCTGAACACATGCCACCCTCAGTCAAATGTGAATTCCTTCCCCAGGGATATTCAAGTTCAGTGTTCAAATTAAGACTTGGAAGGATGTTTAAATCTGAGACAGCACATATTCTTGTATAAGCTCATCATCTTTATGTATAACGTGATAGCAAAATGTCAAATGTTTGAATAATTAAATGAGTTTTACCTTGGCTTCTATTGACTGTTTTTTATTACTTTGTATACGGAAGCAGAATTTGGCCAGTCAGATGACTCAGTTTGGCAGAACACTCATTCTCCTAGCACACAAACTGTGCCTAACACAAATCTACGCTAAAGTGCACACAGGGTCAGTCCTGTCCCAATTGAAAGGAGAACCCAGTTGAGAGCACAAGGAGAGTGCTGATTGGCTGGGGAGTAGCCCTCAGGGCCCATAAAGGCAGCTGTGGAACACTCAGAAAGGTCAGTACCTCCCATCTAGTGTGACGCTTCTGTGCTTCTCAGACAGTGCTCTGTCACCATGAGTGGATGTCCATTTCTAGGAAACAACTTCGGGTGAGTGTGTACTTTTGTTGTCGTGAGTGAAGTCAGGCTCTTAAAGTGCCAAATATGAACCATCTTCTGTCTGATTGTAAGGAGTGCTGAAAACTTTCCATTTTATTCTGTCCAGTAACAACCCGAACAGAACTGGTCATAGACTTTTAATCATTCATATTCTTAGTTAACTGCATTTCTAGCAAGATCTATTTTTTTCTCTTCATTTAAAATTGTAGATATGCTTTTAAAAATCTATCTGTAGAAGACAGTGAAGACCAATCACAAACTGGTGTGAATAAAGCCAGCAAAGGAGGACTTGTCTATGGGAATTACCTGCATGTGAGTGACAGAGTCCTAACTAAACTCCTCTTTCTCTCTCTCTTTCTCTCTTTCTCTCTCCCCCTACCTCTCTGTAGTCAATGGTTTTCTGGACCTAAAGATACTTATCTATAAAACTTTTGTTTTTCTACTTTCATAAAAATAATCTAGAAAATTATAGGTGAAAATTGACATCCCTGGTAGAAGTATTAGCAAAGCAGATGAAATCAGGGGAAAGGGGAAGAAAAATCAATTAAAATGTGTTCTGTACATGGACCAGCTCCCCATGATGAGTGTAATCATTATGTACTGCAAGCTCATATTGATAAAAATAAAAATTAACCAAAAGCAGGGAATCTAGAGTTGGGGCAGAAGAGTGTAGATAAAAGGCAGGCATTACACAACTTGAATAAATAAAACATGGTCAATAAACCCGACCTTAGATAACTGCAAATGCATCTTAGAAAATGCTCTCTTTTAAAACTCTTACCATAAAGCTGAAATGATAAAGACACATTCAAAATTTTCTTGAAACCATTAGTTTTTAGGTAAAAGAATCATCAGTAAATGGACTGTGTGGAGATTATTTGGGGCTATGTTTGTTTTTAAGCATGCTTGTCTTATTTTTCTTTTTAAAGAAAAAAGTGGTTATGGTACCCATGAATGTGTTTCTGAGGATAAACTGGCAAAGAATGTGAAGATCTTATTAGAACAGGCTTTGAAGGGGAATAAAATGGCTTAGGAGGACAGAAACACAGACAGCTTAGGCAAGTTGTCAGGTTTTCATCATTCTCATTTCATAAAATCATAAGGAAGTAACATCAGAGTGTCACAGGACTTGTTGTGACAAAATCCTCCCAAACAAATTTTTTTCTGAGACTAAAAGGTCGTGACTTTAACTCACTCTTTATGATGAGACTCATTCATTGTTTAAAATAAAATAGAAAGGTTTTGGGAAGTTTGGAACTTTTTCCAGAATTTCCTGTATTAAAGCGGACTAAAATATTCAGTTTTGCAATTTTGAAACCAGTCTATTTTTCACTTAAAGTTGGAGAAAATTTTGAATGCACAAGAACTTGAAAGCGAAATAAAAGGAAATAAAATCCACGATGAACATCTTTTCATCATAACTCATCAAGGTAAGTTGCAAAAGGTTGGACAATCGCTGCTCCACAGGCACCTGCCATCAAAATGTGGTCAGCTGTCATCTCTTATCTATCAGCTGGTGAAAGACCCGGGATCCCTTTTGTTAGGAATGCCTGAGAATACTTTGCCAGAGAAGCTCTCTTAGGAAACCTTTTGGGCTTTATACTAGCCATCCTTATGCTCCTTTGCTCCTAATTGTGTCAGGTAACACTCTGGCTTTGTTCTTGACTCCATCTCTTAGAATTGCACAAAGCATTTGCAAGTGTAGATGCTACTATTTTTCAACCTGGAATGTTAAAAAACTATTCTCATGAAATAAATCATTCAAGCTTATTGACATTTATGTAATTTTTTAAAAAGTTTAGCACTGGGCAAAACATATTTTCCAAAATGTGTTTATTTTGACCAAATTTTCTATTTCTAGGCAGTGTTTTTAGCTTAAGAGACCATGGCTTGTCATATTACCATAGGTCTTAAGTTATTAAAACATCAGCTTCCATGTGTGGGTGATTAGTTCTGTAACCATTGTGCAAACAAGTCAACCCAAGTTAAGGAATGTTAACTTCCACTGCGGTGGACATGTTCAGGCAGACTGCTTCCAATTGTACTTCTCCCTTCCACCCAGCTAGGTCATTCTCTTTTCATGTCAGCTTTTTCGTCTCATGGCCTCCTGGGACAGTGGAAAACAAACTCTCATGAAGGGCTTTGCTTCTATCTTTCTATATAAATGCTTTCCTGGTATTTGGGTTGAACAAATAGGCCTGGACTCAAATGCGTCTTCTCAAAGGAGATGTACTGAACAAGACTAAATCAGCTGTAGTCAGAATTGGTAATGAGATTGAAATGAAACTTTGTCTTTTTCATAGTACCACAGACATCTGGCCATTTCCTCCTTAGATGCTAGGTTTTTCTCAAATTAAAAAATAAAACACTACCTTTCCAGTAACTTAGCTTTACAATTTCAGTCTTAAAACCTACCATCTTTTCTTCAGGTCCCTGATGGTTTTTTGGTTCACAGTTGAAGCTAAATATCACTGTTTCTCCCCACCCCACCTTGCCTACGAGAAGGACTAAGCTGCTTGACATCTTCCAAAAGATCTGAATGATAGTCTGTTGACAGAACCAGTGTAATAATGGTGAACCTAAAGCACATAGCTAATACGCTTGGCATACTCTAGCAATGGCGGCTACTCTAACTTTAACACTAATATCTATTTGTAGCATAAATGGGTCTACATTTCATTTACTAGTTTTAAAATTCTATTTTTATTTATTTTCAAATATGAGAAACATGCCTTTCACATATTGTGGTCAAAGCTCCTATAACTTTCTCACTGACAAGCATTTTCTCATTACAGCTTATGAACTCTGGTTTAAGCAAATTCTCTGGGAATTAGATTCTGTTCGAGAGATCTTTCAGAACGGTCATGTAAGTTACCATGCAGTGGAATTGTTTTATTGTGTTTTTGGAAGCTCTAGAAAATATTAAATGTGAAAAATATAAAACCAAATATTGAAATGACTAATGACTTGCAAAGAAAAAACATTTTCTTAGATTTTTTTTTTTTTTTTTTTTTTGTGTGTGTGTGTGTGTGTGTGTGTGTGTGTGTTTGTTTTGAGAAAGTCTCTTTTGAGTTCAGGCTGAACTTGAACTCTGTGTGGCCTAGGCTGGCCTTCAGCTCACAGATGAGACTGCTTAATTCTCCAGAGAGCTGGGATACAGGTGTGAACCCCCACACCTCGCTTAAAAACCGGAACAAAACAAACAAATAAAACCCAAACACTTTCTGAGTAGATAGTTTCAAGACATTTTCTCAGGGCCATTGACTTGAAGTTTTTTTTCAAATTCTATTTTGTGTGGTAGTCAATATGTTTTTTGAAAAAAGTATGCTATAAGCAAGGGTAGATTATCATGCTACCTGAGCCTTGAATGAATGGGTAACAGAGTTGTATTTCTAACGAATATGACTTTTGCAAAGAGAGGAGCAACAATAAAATGAAAAAGGAGGAGGGAGAGGAGGAAGAAAAAGGGAAGACAAGAGGAAGAGGGAAGTTGGGAGGAAAAGGACAAAGAAAGACAGGAGGGCGGAGTGGCCCCTGTGCTGTGCCTGGTCGCACTCAGCTCCTCTGTCCCCTGCAGAGACGCTTCTGTCCAATACCTTTGAGTCCCTGCTGCAAATAGGCTGGCCCAGAGTGACAGGGCCCTGGTCCCTTTTTACCTAACCCTAACCTTAACCCTAACGCCTGAGGACAGATGCCCCCCTGTGACCATCAGAGAAGAGCAGATTTTGCTTGTTCTTTACTTAGAACTCTACACGATGCCTTGAATTTTCTTTTTTGAAGCAAATTAAGCTAAATTAAAATTCAAAGAGAAATCTGTGTTGACAGCAGTGGAAATGTGTTCTGGGATTTTCTTCCACCTTGCTCCCATATCGTTTCTGTTTGTAAAGAAAGAAAAAGAATTCTGAGTCTGTTGACGTTTCTTGCACACAACTCAGAATTGTTACTAGCGCAATGCACGCTCCTGGCGCTTTCGGTTCCAGGCTCCTGCTTCAGTTTCCTTTCACCTAAGACGAACAGGAAAGCACTGGCCTTTAGTCGGCGCTGCCTGTGCCTGGGCTGTCTGACCGGTCTGCCTCGTCCTAACTCAGGTCCGGGACGAGCGGAACATGCTCAAGGTGGCCACTCGCATGCAGCGGGTGGTGGTGATCCTCAAACTCCTGGTGCAGCAGTTTTCTGTCCTGGAGACCATGACGCCCCTGGACTTCAACGACTTCAGGTACACAGCTGTGGCATCAGTGCGGGACCTCACCGCCTGCTGTTGACAGGGATACTCCACCAACACTCAGTTTAAAGACGGAGCCCCACCCTAGCCCTAGGATTGAGTGTGGGGCCCCCAGGGTGAGCTACATCACAGCCCTTTCTTATTTTTTATTCTTGAGACAAAATCTCACCAAGTCACTAAATTGCTGAGGCTGGGCTCAAATTTGTGATCCTCTTGTTTCAAAGTGCAGCACCATGCCCTGCTGCCTTTGGGTCTTTTAATCACAAAACATTTGAGAAGTTATCAAAAATATTTCATTGTTTTTACATAGAAAATAATATGACCAAATAATTTTAATTCATCGTTTACTATTTTTGTCCAAAAAGGAGGATTTTAAACAACAAAATGGCTAAACTAGCTGTAAAATAAGTAGTTCACTTAAAAAGTAACACAAAGGGAACAGAGCGCTACGTAAAGAAGTGTGCCAACCAAAAGTGCCAGTATAAATGATGGCTTGAGTGATAAATTTTAGCTTTAAATTACCAAGCAATCCAAGCCTTGTATGTGTGTCTGTATGCAAGCTCCGGGGCTCACACACACACACACACACACACACACACACACCTTTTAAAAAGCATACTATGTTCTTGACAAAATTACAGGGCAAATTTTTAAAAGAAACTTTCATTGAGTGTATGATATGGTGTCATAGGCAATGTCCCAACGTATTTGACAGCCGAAAGAAATACAGTTGTGTTTTTGTGGTGGATCTTACAAACAAATAATGTTTCAGCAGCAGCTAGATGAAAGACATTTACTTGAATCTAAGAGTGCGGATGATCTGTTGGGTGGGAATCCTGGTTTTTTGGGATTGCCTTTTTCATACAAGGCAGTGTCTCAGTTACTTTACTTGCATTATCTCATTGATACTCAAATAATTTCAGATTTGAAATGAAGGACAGCATGCAAGAATGCCTTTGCAGCAGGGATGAAATAGTTGTAAACGATGTTTGATCAGTGGGAAGCTCTGTGTCAGCTGTCTTTATCTTAGGAGAAAGTCTAGCCCCTACACACTTGCACATGTACACCAGAACACACCACACATACATATGTATGTAGATTTTGTTTAATATACATTCATGGAAATTTAAATAAGCTATATCATACATATTATATACTGAAATACATATTATACGTACAAAATATATGTGAAATGTCACTACTGTATAAACTACCCAGTTTGAAATTGATTGACAGAAATGATGTGGTTTGAGCAGCTCATGTCCTCTTTTAACAAAGTTCAAGCCTCAGGTTCAACTTTAGGTGGTTGTACACGTCGGTTCTTGGTAATGGACCAACTTCCCTTCACAAGAAAATAAATCCTTGCTGCTCAGCCAAACAGAAGCATAAATTCAAGTCATTTGTAGGGAAAGGGAGGTATTTGGAGACCATAAGGGTGAGTGAGATAAGTCAGACCTAGAAGGTTAAATACAGCATAGCTGCTCTTATCTGAGAAACCCAAAGTATAAATAGTTTATAGAGCACAGTAAAAGAAAGAGGATAGTAAACAGAGAGCTAGACTTCGTACAGATGGAAAGGGGTCTGGGGATGTGGTGAGACAGGAGGGAGGAGAAGGAAAGGGAAGCTGAGAAGGACCAGGCAGAACGTGCGTCTGCACCAGCGCCCCAGGAAGAGCACATTCAATATGTATTCTAAGCGCGTACTCATGAAACGTTAGAATAAGGAAGAAACCACGGCAGTGATACACAATGTCGACCTATCTCTTACTTCCCGTCTTCCCTTCCTGTATTCATTCTCAAAGAGAATACTTAGTTCCAGCATCAGGCTTCCAGAGTTTACAGTTCCGACTATTAGAAAACAAGATAGGTGTTCTTCAGAACATGCGCGTGCCATACTACAGAAGACATTATCGAGACAACTTTAGCGGAGAAGAGAATGAGCTGCTCCTCAAGTCCGAGCAAGAAAAGAGCCTTCTGCAACTAGTGGAGGTGCGTGCTCCTATATCGCCTCTGAGGGTGAATTCAGTACATGCTGTTCATCTAGCTTCTGCTAGCACAGAATTTCAAGTCATATCGAAATTGGGTTATGTAGAAAGGATGGAAAAAATTACAAACTACTAACTTGTAAATTCTTATTTAAAAAGTATTTTTGGTAATTAAAAATATTATATAATCCATTGTAGGTTAATATTTAATAATCAAATATCATTAAAACAATTCCTTTAAAACATCTGTACTAAGCAATATTTAATTAGCTGACTTGTAGCCTAGTATGGTTAATTTCTTCAAAATAGTCTCTATTTTTAAGAAATGGCACAATTTAACTTTCATTTCAATATACATTTTATTTCTTTAAATATAACGAATTAAAATTTTTCACTTGGGTGATTTTTTTGTTAAATTAAATTAATAAGAATTTTTTCCTTCATATCTAAATCCCTTAGTGGTCTATATATAGTCTTCAGAGATTGTTAATTTGAACCCTTATAAGTAAGTTATTAAATAAGATTTATATTGTCTTGGTTTACTTTAGAAAGTCTTTCCTTTGCAAATTAAACTTTTAATAAATTATACAATGCTCATTAATCTCCTGGGTGTTTTAAATGTGGATTTATGTTATCATATTCTGCACATGCTCCTATAATAACTTATGAACATGGAAAGAGGAAAAAGTCACAAAGCTAATTGCAAAACTAAATATAGGCTAAAGGAGAACCCATGGGTGTACATAAATTTAGTTTTAGTTTTAGATTACAAGGTCTTATAGAATCTTAAAATAATTGTGAGTAGTTAATTTTAAAGTTGTTCACTGAACAGTGCTCCTGAGATTAAAAAGAGATCGTATTTTATACAAACCTACTTTCATCTGCTCCTAAGACAAAATATTTTGAGAACAAACCATAAGACATCATTAAAACGAGGTTGAAAAATGTTTGTAGATTTCTAAAAGAAAATTGGGACTTCTGTTATCAGAAGTTTATTTAAGAAATAAGAAATGAACATTATTAATGATGATTACTTTAAAGATTGGAAAAATTAGACATGTGACTTGCTATTTCATAAATGAGAAAACGGAAGGCGGGGAAAAATACTTTCAAATAAACGACATATGTTTTTCAATATTATGAAGATTTTTGGTTTCAAGTTAATGAATGTTAGGTACAGTATATTTTATATGTTTAAAATTTATCACATATTCATCTAAAAAGAATATTTACTTCAGGCATGGCTGGAAAGGACACCTGGCTTAGAGCCACATGGATTTAACTTCTGGGGAAAGTTTGAAAGAAACGTCATCCAAGGACTGGAAGAAGAATTCATAAAGATTCAGGTATTTATGATGTCATGAGTTAATATAAACATACTAAAGAAGAAGTACTAAGGATTTTATTTCAATGTTGTGTGCTATTCTTTTTTCTCATATTCTTTTTTTCATAAATACATCTTCTTTGACTATACTAAATGATTGTTTTCTTCATGTGCAATAAAAATCATTATTAAATTCCTTGTGTTGCAGAGATTTCTGTTTGTTGCAAATAATGGAACTTAATTGAATTTTTCATATCTCTTGAAAAATTCCATATTATGACCAATTCTAAGTATAACTAAGAAACTAAAGAACTGCCAACTAAATATATTTAACCATATTATTTTCCTTTTGCTCTTGTATATCTGCTGGGTCCCATCCCCAGATTAGGTCAATTCACTGTTGCTTAAGAAATACTATTGGTTCTCACTTTCCTCAAATCACGTGTCCTTCATTCTCTATGTGTAAATTTCTCAGATAAGTTGTTCAAATTCTCTATCCTAAGAGGCTGGGTCAGGTAGCATGGCAAGCGCTGATTTCAGTCACCTTGGCTGGAATGGAATTCCATTTCTGCTGTGGAACTTTGTGATAACCAGTAACTTCTTCTTGCTTCCCCTTTCCCATTAGTAAAACAGATGAGAAGGAATGTCTGCCTTGAAGGGTTATTGTGAGCATTAAAGTAGATTGAGGTTTGTAAAGCTAAGCTTAGAGCAATAGTTAGGATGATTCCTATCTCTCCTCTCATCCTCAGCCCTCTTCAATAAGCCTCCCTGCCTCCTCATTCACAAGTGATGACACGTGTAAATCCAATGCCCATGTTTAATCTTAACTTTATTTGGCTTCTCAGCAGTACTCAATCTAGAGGCTACTGATTATTACCCAAGCACTCTTTCCCTTGAATGTTGGTATGCATCGAAATGTCGCATATAATTCTCTAGCTCTCATTTCTCGATTTCCTTTAATTGCTTGTAATTTTCTCTCAGATCAATAAATTAAGAGTTTGAAAGACATTCCCTTAGCACTTTCTGTTCTAGAGTTAAGGAAGTTTTTCTCCTATAAGCCTTCTGGTTGGTCAGATCTTTCACCATTGAGTACCCTTGTCCTCAGTTTTACCAATTTCTTTGATCTATCACCACATCCAACTAGTATCATCTTTCAGATACTCTCCTGTCCTGTATCTCCCTTTCACCTCTCACTGTCTCTCACAAGCAAATCATCTGCTTTTCACCTGCTCTTAAGTAACAAGTCTTGATCCTATCCTACATGCCTCCCAATATGGCTCTATTCTGAGTCATTCACCATGGCTCTTGGAGTCACCTTTTCAAAATACAAGTCTGATTGTACCTCCCTTAAAATCTTCTGATATCACTTTATTGTTTGCAACAGAAGGATAAAATCCTTATATGGCCTCTCCCGTCTGCTATAGTCCAACACCTTGTCTCTGCTGATCTCCTCACTACACACCATACTTCCTTACGGGACTCGCACTTCTGGGCGGTGTGGCTCACACTGCAGTTCCATGTGCTGGTGATTATTTGATGGTGCTTTCTTTGCATTGGGTAGTGAGAGGCACAGATTTTGCTCAAAATTTTAAAACCTTCACCTTCCCATGATGCATATTGTATAAATGAATAATTAATTGGCAATAATAAGCAGGCAAGCTCTTCCCATTCTATGTGTTTGTCCTGAGGATTTGAAAATAATTGGGCTAATTAATTTGCCCCACTTCCATTGATTTGTAAGAAAGGCAAATGTGCTAGGCAGAAAAGTCAGATCTTTAAACCGGGGAAGAGCTGTCAAGGAAATGAAAACATAAAACATAGTTCAGAAATTGTATTTATGGGGTGTAGTATTAAATATAGAATTTCAATACTGTTAATAGTTTTCCTGAGAATTCTTTTCCTGGGAAGAATCCATTTAAACCTGTGTTAAATAATTGCTGTATAATATTAGATCATTCTTGATAATTTGTCCTTATCTCTAATTATAACATCTTAGTCCATTTCTCAAGATATTTCAAAGAGACTATTTGCACATGCCAAACTATTTAAATTTGAAGGATAGAACTGCTGTGTGTTTGTGCATTTGTGTGTGTGTGTGTGTGTGTGTGTGTGTGAGTGTGTGTGTGTGTGTAAGATTCCAGTTCATTAGAAGTAATATCCAAGTTGTAATATTGGTTGATAAAATAAATATTCCAAGTATGCCCTTTCTGCGACCTGACAGGCTATTTAAACAAAGTGTCTAAAACCGGGATATGTCCTCTTTTTGTGACTCTAATGCCATGGTTTTTCTCTGAAGTCTAAAGAAGAGTCTGAAGAAAAAGAGGAAGCGATGGCTGAATTTCAGAAACACAAAGAGGTGCTGCTGTCCTTATTTGATGAGAAACGTCACGAACATCTCCTTAGTAAAGGTAGATATTTTTACCCTAAGGGTTATTTCCTTAGAATAAATGAATGTGAGATCAAAATATAATTTGATAAGACTATCAGATGTTAGTTGGGGCATAGAATGAGAGTTGCTGTCCTACTTATGCAAACAAGAATTGGGAAAATGTTATCTCCTATATTAGTAGGTTTCTACATTCACTGTATTTCAAAAACACTAGCAAAAAACTTCATAGTGTATACTCAACACCAGTTGTTCCAAGGTAGGTCTAATATGTTTTGTGAGTACCTCACAGTTTAACAGGGACAGAAGTGAAAACAGCTCATCGTAACTGTACAAGTGCCTGCTGTAAGTGAGGCTGAAAAAGCAAGGAAGGAAGGACATACTCTGAGTCAGGGAGACTTGGCAGAGGAAATGTTTCCCACATAGACCAGGAAAAGGATCTGGCCAGACTTTTGGCCTAATTTTTGACACAATCTTGAGCTATTATTTCTTGAAACTAGTTGACCATTATGATCAGTAACTTCATAACTCAACTACTGTTTTTCTTTATCTGAATCTATCCTGTACATTTTGATTTGGAATTTTTATTGTGAAGAACCTTAAAGTCTTTTTCAAAAAAAGCCATTCAAGGAAAAGTGTCAATAACATGTTAATTTTTATAACATAGTTAAGAAAAGCAGCAATATTTGAAATTAGTGTTAAACTGTTTAAACTTAAAAGGTTATAGCCTGTTTCCTGAAAGACTAAAAGAATGACAAGTCTTGTTTTTTGCAGTGAGGGAAAAAGCCTTTAATTACAATGCACACCTGTGATTTTATACAACTCTTGTGCTCCTTAAAACCAAGGAAGCAAATTTTAAGTGAGTTAAAACTACTTTCCAATGTAGTTTAGGAAGCATCTTTTTCAACTTTTTGAAAAGTAAATCATGGTACTATTTGTTTGTTTGTTTCTTTCTTTCTTTCGGTACCAGGAATTGAACTCACTACCTTGAGCTTGCCAGGCAGGCGCTTCGCCGCTGAGCTAAATCCCCAGCCCCCATGGTACTATTTTAGTTGGAAACTGACATTTATCAGGGAAGTTACACATTTTTGATGTTGAAAGATTTTGAGAGTCTAAAGTACACATATTTCCTGTAATCCAATGTTCAAATAATGTTTTGAATGAAAGTTCCAAAGTTCACAAAAAGAAATAAAAAGTTTAAGCTAAAACTGCAATTGTTTTCCAAAAAACATGAAATCTTTAATTAGGTAAAGCAATAATGCTAAGTGACTATTGCTGCCCCAGATTACTTCATCTGTTGCAACTTGCTTTGTGCCTCGCAGGTGAGAGGCGACTGTCATACAGAGCGCTGCAGGGAGCACTGATGATATATTTTTACCGGTAAGAACAGCCGGACTAGGAGATGTGGAACAGTGAAGCCTGGCTGTAGATAGCTCCAAGATGGCTATGCATGGCGATAGTACCAAATAGGAAGCTTAAAATTTGGAATCCTAGTTTAATATGGTAACTGAGTTTTTCAATTAAATTTAGAAAACAGTTATTTTTTATTTTTAAGTGACAAAAATATAACTTCATCTCTGAAGCAGGTTCTAGATACACTAGCAAATTATTCAAATATCTATCTTTTCTAAGCTGTAGAAGGCATTGTGGTTCATTAAATGTCCAAGAACACAAAAGATTATTTTTTTCAGAAACTCAATCATGAAATGTGTTGTCAGTAAACAATGTTTGGGGATTATTTCTGATTTGTAAACTGAAAAAGAACGTCTCACAAACTTGTGTTCTACTTACAATTGCCTTTACTGTCTGAAACATTGGAGGTGCCCGTTAAATATGCTCATCCTCCTACTTCATGGATGTGAAGTCCGTCTTAGAAGTTCACGACTTGTGAATACACGGGGGAGCACACTATCCCAAAGGTTTCAGACACCAGTGTTTATGTTTATTTCCTTGTATTTCTTTAATTAAATTTGTTTCTTAGAGTGTCAACATGAATACAATCCTTGGCTCTTTTCTTAAACTCAAAGTAAATGAATATCATTCAAAGTAAGGTGTCCTAGGAAAAGAATGTACTGAGAAAGATGAAGGATTCTATGAAGAAAGGAAAACAAATGTATTAGAGAAAATGAGAAGTAGTCTTTGTTTGTGTGCTTTAAGATGTTTATCTTGAAGCTTCAAACTTGTATAGTGGGGAAATGCCTGGTGGTGTATATGTCTCTCTTCTGTTAAGAATCTATCTTAAGTGTGACTAGTTATTTTATGTGCTTTATATGTAGTTTTCTAAACTGCAAACAGACATTGCAAAATATGCTTCCCATTTTTGAGATGAAGAAATAGAACAACCCTAAAGATTCTAGGGTTCCTAAGTGGCAAAGCTGATGTCTTTCACCAGGACTCTTCTTGACACTCTAGATTTGCTTGAATGCACGGCTTCTTCTTACAATTTTCTTCTTTTTCAGGGAGGAGCCTCGATTCCAGGTCCCCTTTCAGTTGCTGACTTTCCTTATGGACATAGACATGCTCATATCCAAATGGAGATGTAAGTTTTCCTCCCACCCCTGAAGTCCTCGCCTTCCTATTCTTTTGCTTTACTCCAATATTTTTGCTGGCTCAAGAAAATGTTTTAATTTATTTTTAAGATCAGAAGGAAAAATCAACTTTAGATCAGAGAAATCATTTTAGTACAGTCCACCACTAATATATCTATCATTGTGTCACTGCAATTTTAAAATATATATTTAACTATTTCATTTTTAATGGAGGAAGGGTTCTATAAAGGCAAAACTGTCAAGGACAGAGGAAGGTCGCAGGCTGGCGGGCTGAGCACCCGACCCAGGAGCTGCAGGACGCTGAGTCCTGAGGGGCGCTAGGCAACCTCAGTCTCCTCAGGGTGCGCGCACCTTCCATATGGCCAAGTGATAAGTCGCCAGCGCTTTCTCGGAGGCAATAATCATTACCAACCCCTTGTTTTCAGAACACTGTGGGACTAATGGCACAAAAATACCGTGGAATAAATGCATGTGTTTGCCTAGATAACCACGTGTGCTTGGTGCACCGGATGCTGGGCAGCAAGGCGGGCACTGGCGGCTCCTCTGGGTACCACTACCTGCGCTCGACCGTGAGGTGAGGCCTGGAGACCTCCTGTCACCCTGGGGAAGCCAGCATGCGTTGTCTAGGCGAAGCCCCTCGGCCTTTCTGCTGGCCGAACAGCACACAGCTGCTTTGTAGTGCGGTGCTGAGATGTGGCGCCTTGGGGGTAACCGGGTAAAACCCTGGATTCTGGAACTTGACCTTCAGGATCCTAGAAGGAAGAGGGCCTGGTATAGGTGGCTGCTCCCTGATGAGAGGCTAAAGGCACTAAGAGCCTTCGTGCCCTGGGGAAGAGTCTTCCCATTCATCCAGCTCAGGTTTCCAAGAGACTAATTGCTTCATCATTAAAATCATTAACTCCCCTCAGACCTTTTTGAATGATACGCTTCTCTTTGTTATTACTAGAGATTAAATCTAGGACCTTCACTTGAGGTTAAATACCCAGCTCTTTTTGTGTTTTGAGGCAAAGTCTTGCTAAGTCACTCAGGCTATGTTAGAATTTGTAACTCTGCTGCTTCAGCCTCCCAGAATCCCGGAACTGCAGACATGCACCACCACACTCAGCTCTGTTTCTTGTTTTTTGACGTGATTCTATTTTACATCATTAAAAAACTTCCAGCTACTCCAGAAAGTGCACTTTTCACACTCTTTACAAGGGAAGAGGCCAGTATTTACTGAGGGCATGAAACATACTTAAACAGTAGTTAGGACACTTTGCATTTTCTTCTGTTTATTGCTCACAACATCATAGGTAAAATCGAGAAACCCTGTGAAATCAAGAAACCCCCAAGGCTCTTTGGAAAAGAGGAATAAACTCAATAAGTCTGGTGTTCAAGTGTAGCCCTCCCAGCTCTTTATAGTATATTGCTTTCATCCCTAGTCTTACTGCCAGATTGGTTGGTTCATAAAATGCACAGGTTCAAATTTTTATCATTTTTGTGCTGGTCTAGCATGAGGCGCTGGGTTTCATTTCCAGCGATGAGAGAGAGAGAGAGAGAGAGAGAGAGAGAGAGGGAGAATGTATCAGTTGAGTGGTGGGAATAATTAACCTAAACAGCATCTTTGATGTCTCGTTTGATCTTCACTAAGTTCCAGCCAGATGAAAGGGTTGTAGCATATATTTATAGAACTAGAAATCATTTCTGTTTACTTATGAAAGTTTCAATCCCATGTCTACCAGCATTGGTTTATAGATGGCAAAGCCATGATGTCAACCTAGATTTGCTTGACTGCTAAGGCAAAAGCTTGTCCTCTATAAAACTGCAGCAGTTAAAATAGCTCTCTGACAAACAAACACAAGATATATATTTCATGATAAAATCACACATAGACATTTGAAGGGACCAAAGATGGCTCTTAATGTACTGAAGCCTTCAGTGGTTAGTTGGAAGCTACTTTGCATTTGTGCAATATTTTCCAAAGAACTATCACAAACTCTGTACACTTTACATTTATAACTTTGCGTACAACCCTTTAATGGTAGGAAATTATCATACTCTGTCTTTAGGAACATAGCACGACAGGGATTCTAGGTTTTAATTGGTATCACACTGTTCTAGATCAGCCAAAGTCATTATGTTGTGTTATGATCTTGAACTTTGGATATGGACTAAATGTGAACAATCTTAAGGGTACAGAACTAGCTACACATACTATATCCACTGTGCGCAACAGGCAATATGTAATTTTGAATATTAGTCATTTATGATAAGACACCCAAGATAAGAATGGGGAAAAAGTTTTAAATATTTCATATCAGCAAATCTAATGATCTGCTTATATGTTTTTCCAGTGACAGATACAAAGTATTTGTGGATTTTTTCAACCTTTCAACATATCTGGTTCCCCGACACTGGATACCAAAGATGAATCCAATCATTCATAAATTCGTCTACACTGCAGAATACTGTGACAGTTCTTACTTCAGTAGCGATGATTCAGACTGAATTCATATAAAAATACTGTGAAGAATATTAATTTCCCAGTCTATTTTTTATTTTCTGGATTTTTCTAAATACATGTAGAGAAAATGTAGTATATTTGTTAATGTAATATATTTGTAATATACAGCTCAACACCATGGTCTTCTGACTTGATTCTGGAAATAACTGTCTTACGTTTGTGATGATATAAGCATTAAGATGAAAAACAATTTAGTTCAATGGTAATGTCGCACTTAGTGTACTTTGCTATTAAAAGCTCAGTTTCCACTGGTACTTACCGTAATGTATCTACTAAATGTAACCATTGTATTGCTGCATTCTTACAGGCTTTTAAACCAGTAAAATGTGTCATTCTGTGCAGAACTTTTTGGAACAAACTGGGTAAAATAATAAATTTAGTTGTTTTTGAAATGTTGTACTGGTTAAAACTCCTGATGATTAATGGGAGAAATCTACCTGAGCCTGTTGGGAGGGGTTTATTGGGTGATTATCCCTTTAGTTCCCAGAATTCAAGGAGCCTGCCAAGAGGGTGAAGAACTCCGATGACTCAGAACCTGGCTCATTTCTTGGACTGTGCCAGTCCTGGAACACTCAGAGGATCCTCTGTCTCATCTCTTCTCTGTGGCTATCAGCTGTGTTCTTTTCTCTTGTAGACCACATCCTCTGTCAGGCGTGGTGAGAATCTCCCAGCAAAGGTGATTCTGTCCCTACCTCCATTCCCTGTACTTGGGGAGATACAGTCAACTCTAGTGCATGACAGAACTGAGATATAGGCAAGTAGTAGTTCCTTTAAGCAGTATTGGCCTTTCCAAAAGAGAAAGAGAAAAAGGTCATACATAATGATTCTGTTTAATTTTAATAAAAGTACTACAGTAAGAGTTTAGATCACATATGATTTTTAGGTTTCTTTTAGCTTGGCTGGATTATGATCAGTTAAATTTTTCTTTTTTTTTTTGGTTTTTTTGGTTTTTCTCCGGTACCGGGAACCGAACTCACGACCTTGCGCTTGCCAGGCAGGCACTTTTGCCGCTGAGCTAAATCCCCAGCCCCGATCAGTTAAATTTTTCTTATGGTAGGGAAGACATAACATTACCAAAGCAATCTAACTTGTACATCAGCATTGACCTGGATTGATTAGCAAGTGGTAAATTCTTGACAGTGTCATGGGAAAAATCCAGGCCCAGAAGGAAAATGCTCTGCACTGAAGCAATTTTGGAAGGCAAATTTGATGTAACCTACGGGGCTGATGGGAATTAGTTTCAAATCATCAGCCCAGAACCGGGTGTGAGTTCAGTTTAAATGTGGTTTGCAAGTGGGAAGTACAAAGCTGACAGCAGGTTATTACATGATTGGTTACATGGAATACTAGAATGACGTCACATATTGTCAGGCAGAATTACACAGGAGCATTCTGGAGGTAGGGGGTCTGAGAAGAGTAGGTAGGGTTGAGTTGGAATCAATGCATCTTCTTTTAACTAAAGGAAACACACTCAGTTTGACCTATCACATTGGGAAAGGATAACAGCTGGGTCCAGACGGTAAAGGCTTTAGTTGCATTTAGCAAGCTAGCTATGTAACAAGCTGCAGGACCCTGTGGTCACAGGCCTCTATTTGATTTCTCACTTTGCTATAATATGCCTACAAGTCTGATATTCTATAAGTGTGCCCTAACAACAGCAAGGAGCTGTTCCTTGGTCTCAGTTACAGATTTTTTTTTGGGGGGGGCGATCACATCCATTAGTGGTCTGTGCATATAATGCTGGCTGCACCTACAGGTTCAATATCTGTAGGTTCAACTCCCCATTTGTTTATGTGTAGCATTCCGTTGTCATTATTCCATAAGCACATCAGCATAACGACTGTTTACATAACTTTTACATTGTGTTTGATATTTTAATGGAAAAATGATCTAAATATAGGAGATGGTGTGCATGGGTTGTATGTAAGCGTGGTGCCATCTTGTATAAGGCACTGGGGCACCTGCAGGTTTTCATTTTTGGAGTGGGGGGGCGGTCTCAGAACCAGTACCCCTGGGTGCTGAGGAACAGTTGGAGATGCCTGGTCAGCTTCACGCTCGTGCATTCCTGGGGGTGCTTGCTTGCACGCATGTGCACACTGTCCGTGGTGGTTTCGCTGAGCTACAGAGACCAGCACATTGCTGGCTAAATGAGTAGGCTTGAAATCAGCCACTTTGAAGTGAATTCTGTTTCCATTTTTCCCATTGTTCACTCCATACTGTGGAAAGGTCACCTGTGTTAGCTCTGTTTTTCCATCCAGCTGGTGATAAAAGTACCTACAAGTTTTCTTCTCACAAAGTAATGAAGATTGTTAATAAATATTCTCCCTCCAAAATACCTTGGAATCTTGGAATAAATGCGATTTGTCAAGATGTATTATTCTTTCTACAGATGGCGTGATTTGATTTAGCTCTTGTGTATCTTTTTGGTGTGAGTAATGTACATAACTGGAAGAGTTTTGTTCAAAAGATAAGTCATAACTCTTATTGTAAATATCAAAATAACTTATAATAATGACAGTTGCCATGCTTAACCCCACTGGGACTTGCTTCTGGTGAGTGTTGATCACCATTTCGATTTATAATTCTTTTCTTTTCTTTGTTTTTTTGTTTTCTTTTTTTTGGTACTAGGGATATAACTCAGGACATTGTGCATGCTAGACAAACTAAACAAGTGTTCTACCACTGAGCTACAGCTCTAACCCTTTAAATTATAGTTATTAAATGAATTACTCAATCACAGTAAAATTGGCTGAAGAATATTTTAATTTATTATTCAGCAATTGAAATCCTTGTGAAACCACAGTTAAGCACCTGTTGCTGACTTTCCCGATGGGCAGGGACTATGGCATGAGGTGCTCACTGCTTCCCCTTTGGACAGTGGCTGGCACTGCCCGTGGCTGTGCAGGGAGGGGCGGGGGAGACCTTTCTCCATGAAAGCTCCTGGAAGACTTGTGTTCTCACACATGGGCACTGGGGAGCTCAGTCGTTTAAAATTGAGGAATAATAGGATCACGCTTTTTAGAATTGTAAATCCTGGGGAAATATAGTAGGTGAATCATAACATCCAGTAGAATCACCCAGATTTTAGTCTGGGGACTATACTTTGAGAACATATGTGGCCCATGCAATTTACTTAGTAGTGAAAGCTGACAGATTTGAAACAGTCAATGGTGACAAATGCTAACAAAAGACAAAGTCAAGCCCATAGGAAGGAGGAGAGCCACGAACATACGCGGGCCCACAAGAACTGTCACACGAGATGGCTAGAACTGCAACACAAACAAAGGTTTGCTGTAACTTTACGCAAAGCCCACTTACGTGAGGGCATCTGCCCAGCACCGCCTACCCAAACTTGGACTGACAGCACTGTTGCTATGCATCCTTGGAGGTGGGGAGAGTCATTTCAAAACAATTCTCTGTTACTTTTCCTTAAAATCTGTTGTGTTCCTTTCAAGTTATGACCACATGTCTTGCCATGGAAATGCTCATCCCTGCATACAGGCTTGTCCTTGGGGAAGCTTGTGGACGGGAAGCTTTGGGGCAGTGCAGATGAGACAGCCTGAAGGCCACGCCTCCCAGGAAGGACAGGAAGTGGCCAGGGGAGATAGGCAGCCATGTGAGGGTCTCTCAAGGTGTTCTTGACCTGAGTAAAGACTTCTTTAATTTTATTGATTGATTATAGATTGATGCTGTTGACCAAAATAGGGATAATCAGTGGTTTTGCTGTTGGTGTTGTCGCCGTGAAGCGAGGAGTGGAGGGCCGCTAAGCGAATGTTTGCGGTCGCTGAGGTGAAGTGCGTGTGGGAAACCACGAACTGGGTACACGGAGGTGGAGACCACACCGCTTGTGACGCAAAGCTGCGAGCACTGTGGCGACAAAACGTGAGCACTGCACTTCAGAACAACGTCTTTGTTGGGGCAAGCTGTTCCATTATCAATGTCACCAAGGTCCAGACGTCTGAGAAGTATTAGCCATGTTGTAATTCATGAGAATTCTTTAGTATTTGAAGAAGAATATTAGAGAAGCAATTTTTCATATAGAAAAGGTCAGTGACCTGACACATACTAGAACAAACAGAATTTAATTCCTCTCCGGTATAGCTGGATATTAAAATATCTATCAACTAAAATGCCAATATTTGTCTTCCTGGAACATCTGTAACCCTGAGTCCACACATGTTATGTTGAGAATGCTTCTGGTTGGTGTAAGAAAAAGAGTTTGATTTTCATTTTGCTTTTCTAATAAAAGGATAAATCAGGCCAAAAATGAGAGGAAAAATGGAATTTCTAGAATTTATTTCCAGTGTTGCTACTGCCTGTAAGGTTTTATTTTTGTTAACCTCTTCTACATTAGAAAACAATCATTAATTGGAAGGGGTGTCACATGCTATCATCCCAGCACCCTGGAAGGCTGAGGCAAGAGGATTGTAAGTAGAGCCCAACCTGGGCAACTTAACAAGTTAGTGGGGTCCTGTCTCAAAATGAAAAGAAAAATAAAAGATGTCTTAGTTCAGTGCAAAGGTCCTGTATCCAACCCCTACAGCTGCAAAAGCAAGCAACCAAAGAGGAAAAAAAAAAAAAACCTCATGTATTTTAGGGAAGACATATTTACATGTAGAGTATGTGATATGATTTCATATTAACTTTGCTATGACAGTTGTCCTTATATTTGACTAGATTAGCTTTTTTATTCTGAGTTTCTTTTTTAATATGAAATATACTTTTATTTTGCTTTCTGAGAAAAATAGTGGATTTGATTACAACGTCAAGGAATTGTTTACAGTTGACGAAACCGTACCTATGTGGTAAAATACTTCAAATAACTGAGTGCTGAGGTTCTTAAAACACCACAGTGGCTCCCACCCCGGCCGCAGGGCATGAGCTCCACATAGCGTCCTTTCCGGGCTCGCTCAGGAGCCAATCACCGCTCAGAAGGGAAGTTCGTCAGGGCGCATCGGTGTCAGCACATCCGAGTCACTCACTCAATGGGACACAGGCAGGAGGACAGCAGGCACTGTGAACCCGGGGCCACCCACAGGGAAGCAGAAGGGAGGCTCGGAGAAGGAGCTGTGACAGGGCCAGGCGATCTAAGTACAAAACGGAAGTCAGAGAGCCCGGGGTGCTCTCGATTTGACTGATGTACCAGGCCGAGGGAAAGAAATTTGAGAGAACCACGGTAGGAAGACGGGTGTGATCCTGGTGTTGCTAACGGGAGCCCAGTAAGTGAGGAGGAAATAAAAATGGAAAGTGAGGACAAGAGCAATTCGTTAGCCAGGGAAACCAGACCAGCAGGCACCTTTGGAAATGATAACAGTACAGAGTTGGAGACCGTGAGTCAATGCGGGAAAATGCTTTGTTCTGTAATACAGACAGAAGAATCTAAAAAATTACATCCCCTGGGTTTCTGTTGACAATGGTAATTTTCAGAAAATAGTTTGTGTGAGAGGCAGTGTTATTTGAGGTGGTCGATCACACACGGCTCCCTGCAGTCCTTTCATTGCACCTGGTTTCTCCTTCTTCCTTTGTCCGTGATCCCCTGCTGTTGAAAGGGTGAGAGCCAGGAGGCGAGGGAAGCAATTGAGAGTCCAGCTCCTGGAATGCCGCCAGGTCATTGTGAGGCTCACAGCCCGACTCTTGTGGAGAAGGAGAAGGGCAATCTAAGCCTACAGATTACATCCCATGAAGGAAAACAAACTGTAACCAGCTCTTTGATCAGACCTGAACCAAGTTCCATGTTAAAAATGAAAAGAGAAATCAGCAAACAACAGCTTGCTCACGTTGGAGAAACCTAAGGCAGCTCCTCATCCTACTTGCCCCAGAGTGGGAAACACGCAGATCTCTTTGCAGGCCCAGGGCTGCAGCTCCTCCGAGGGGTTTGGGGGTCCACCTCTCCAAGGAGGGGGAGATCTGCAACTTGGTTTAAATCCTGAGTTCCGAGAGACTTTTGTCAGCAGTTGCCAAAGCTCGAGGGTGAGTCTTGCTTAGAGTGAAATACCACTGCTACATGGCACAATTTTATTTTTCTCATTGTCTTCATGTTCCCAACACATCATACGAATACAGCGGAAACAGAGTCTGCAATACCTAAAGAAGGAAAAGAAATTACTGATTTCTGTTCATCTTTAGGTGTTTTTTAAATAGCAGGTTAAAACGTAATTTTCATGTGAGTTTAGAAGTATCTCCACCTGTCAGTGGAAACAGTTACCTCCAAAGCAGGTGTAGGAAGAGATGCTGAATATTTTTGTTTGAAGAAACCAAGCCAAAGAAAACTATTTGTTAACTAAGTAAGCAAATGCATCTAATATCAATATTGCGCTTGTTTATACCATATTTATTAAAGAGAATAAAAAACACGTATTATTTCAAACATAATTTCAAAATTCAAACTAAATTTTAAACTTAAGAAAATTTCAATAAATCACAGATGCGCTACATAACACACTACCAGACAGACCTCAGCCTAACAGCAAAAGCAATGACTAGCCAATGTGAAGAATGGATGTTAGTCTTAGAACTTTTATTGGGGCTATGGAATACTTTCTGTCTTATGCCATTGTTCAAACAAGAAATACGACCACTGGCGGACATATAAATGTCAGCCAATATTCTCAAGAAAGATTTGGATCCCTGTATAATTAGTAACCAGGCAGACACTTGGAGACTCAAACTGTCAAAGCAGGTAGAGAGAAGAAATCCTCTCAACCCGTCCTTGTTAGCTGAGGGCCAGGCAAAGATGCACAATCACAATTGAGACAATTATGAAGCAATGTCGGAATACCGTTCTTGAGACTGCCTGGTCAGAGCTTTAGAAACAGCAGAAACCCAGGCACCAACAATTTCCAGAGATAACGCCTGTCAGTAGCAGAGGCAGTGATGTATCCACAAGTTCTAAGGACAGAAACACGCTAGTGATGCTGGAAAGAAAGGCCTGATTGGACTGATAGTACACCTGCCAAGGTTGTCAGTCATGTTGGCTCTTTCAATAAAAAATTTATGAAAGGGATTCTACTTTATAGAGCAATTGGAAAGTAGTCACTAGACTGAATCAAAACTTTCCCTTGAAATTTTTGCTAGAACTTATTTCTAAATCTGGAAGGTTCTACAATTTCTAAAAAGTGGTATACTATATGTGTTCAACTGATTGCAATCAGTATTATTTCCATCTGTAATTTAATTTGGGTGTAGCTTGATTTAGAAAATATGTTGATTTTCTAAACCAAAAGTTGTAGGACGTACCTTTGAATCTAGGTTTTAGAATAAAGCTTAAAATTCGTAACTACTTTAGTTTGGTAAATGTTAATCTAAAACAGTTTGTTATTAAATTAAAAAGAATGTTTGGTATTGGGCCAAAAATTCAGTTCCATCCAGGTGGCATTTTGCTAGAATTTTTTAGGTTACAAGGAGCATATCAAGTCAGAAAAAAATCATAATACTCAAATTTTCACATTTTGATGCAAGAAAAACTGATTCTTGATAATCATTTTCCTTTCTTCCTCCTCCATTTCCCCTTTCTTTTCTCTCCTTCTCTGCCTTTTTTCCCCCTCGCCCTTCCTATCTTTCTTCTTTTTCTCCTTCTCCTCCTTCTCTCTCCCCTACCTCCTCCTCCCTCCTTTCTCTCCTTCTTTTCAGTGCTGAGGATCCAGTCCAGGACCTCACATGTGCTAGGCTGTGCTCTGTTGAGCTATATCCTGAGCAATTATTTATAATCATCAAGCAGGTATTATAATATGCAAGTTAGGAAAAATATAAAAAGTAAATTAGGAATAGTAAGGCATCTCTGGAGAAAGTCAGTCCCCTAACTTGAATGTTTATCTGGTTTTTGAAGTAGTTAATTCTGGTAAAATTATTACTTTCTCCTATGTTTTGACAACATGCATGTGTTATATATATATATATATATTTATTTATATA